TCCCACAACTCCCACGTGTCATGGGAGGAGCCCGGTGGGAGGTGACGGAATTGTGGGGTGGGTCTTTCCTGCACTGTTCTCGCGGTAGTGAATGAGTCTCGTGAGAGCTGATGGTTTTAAAAACGGGAGTTTTCCTGCACAAGCTCTCTCTTTGCCTGCCGCCATTCATGTAAGATGTGACTCGCCCCTCTCGCCTTCTGCCATGGTTGTGAGGCCTCCTCAGCGATGTGGAACTGGAAGTCTTTAAACCTTTTTCCTGTATAAATTACCCAGTCTCGGGTACGTCTTTCTCAGCAGTATGAAAATGGACTACTCCACTTGTTACACATTTTGAGCCATGGAAAGTGCTCAATTTGGAGTACTTGAAAATTGCCACCCTTGGAGTACTTGAAAATTTTTGTATTTTTAGTAGAGACAGAGTTTCAGTGTTGACCAGGCTGCTCTTGAACTCCTGACCTCAGGTGACCCACCCGCCTCAGCCTCCCAAACTGCTGGAATTACAGGCATGAGCCACGACGCCCAGCCCTGGCTCTCTGAGCTTTAAACTACTTTCTTTAAATTTTGCTGCCGACTCTAATAGTTAGACTTCTTTTGGAGGGTGAAAGGAAAGCAGGAGACGGAGAAGGAGAGAAAAAAAAATAGGGGGGAAAAAAAGAAAAAAGGAAAAAAGAAAACAAACCTATTACATTACAAGGGTAATGTATACCACAATATTTGAATGTTTTCCGTATGCCAAACAGTAGCCACACATAGTGTCTTATTTTCTTCTAACAACACCTCTATAAGGTAAGCGCTATTATTACTCCCACAGAGACCAATGAGGGAAGTGACTTATTCAAAGTCAAAGAGTTAGGAAACTATTGGAGCCAGGATCTGAGGCGAGGTCTGGTCAAACTCCAGAGCCCGAGCACATAATCCTTACACTACTGTGAACTGTGGGCAAGGAAATACGAGTTCACACATCGCCAAATCCAGTGCCAAATTAAGCATATCAAAGACATAATCGTCACTTGGAGGATAACCACAATGAGGTAGCCCTATCTATTAGGCACCTACTAGATGCTGGGCATCCTGCTGGGCACATCCATCCCCATGGCCTCTCTGTGCACTGACATCTGACGTCTTTCTCAGAGAGGAGGAAACTGAAGCTCACGGGGTGGGGGTGAAGTGGCTTTTGCCCTAGACCAGATAGCCCATAGGCACAGAAAGGAGATAAGACTCAGGGTCACATGACCTCAAAGCACCCTCTCTTGCCACTTCTGTTCTTGCTCCTGTTCTCCACTCTAAGTGATCTGGATGGACCCCTGCATGAGCAGATAAAGAGACCACCCTGAAGAGTGTTCATTCCTTCCCCACTGCAATACTGCCATGGCCCTGCTTGGCCCGAGATGGGGTGTGGTTTGGGGCAAACGTGTTCTTCCCCACCCTTCCCAAACCAGAGGCGGGGACCATACTGATACAGAAGGGGAGGACAAGGACAGTGCGTCGCTGGGGCTCTTTCTCTTACCTCTGCCTTGCTTCCTGGTTCCTCCAGGAACCCCACTGACGGCAAGCTTTGTGCTGGCTTCCATTGCGAAGTGGAGGCTCCTGGCTGGGTGTCGCCTGGACACTTTGTTCCTGGTGGGCACTGTGCACTCAGAAGAAGGCTGTGCCCAAATGGGTCTGCACTCAAGTTTCCAGTGGTATTTCATCAATAAGGAAGATCACTGAGGCTGTGACTCCAGACAGCGTTGCGAAAACAACTAGGAAATGAAAAAAGTAGCCGGATCAAAGGTTACAAAGGGTTGGCTACATTGGCTCACACTTGTAATCCCAGCACTTTGGGAGGTTGAAGTGGAGGATCACTTGAGGCCAGGAGTTTGAGACTAGCCTGGGCAACACAGCGAGATTCCATCTCTCCAAAAAAAAAGAAAAAGAAAAATTAACAAAATTATATTTTAAAAAATGCAATCAAGGTATTGACCGGGGGGAAAGAAAGAAAGAGAGAAAGAAAGAGAAAGAAGGAAAGGAAGAAAGGAAGGAAGGAGGGAGGGAGGGAGGGAAAAAGAAAGAAAGAAAGAAAACGGGTTACAGAGAACCCTGCTTGACTGAAGGAGCTTCACACACTGCCATTTTACCTACACACTGATAGAAGAAAATGCTTCAAGGAGACCTCAGTTGCCCAGATAACTTCCTTTAATTAAGAAATTTCAAAAAATTCCCTGAATGGTCTAGGTAATATGTTTGTCCAATCATGACCACAAGGCGTCTGAAGCAATGGAGTTCTGGTCCAGAGCTGTCAGTGCCAAGGAGATTCCCAGTGTCCACAGCTGCAGCTCCCAAGCTCACTGCTGGTCCTTCTCTGGACTCTCTTCCTGGGCAATAACTTGAAAGAAGTTGAAGTTTGTTATCTCCGTGACTCCACCTGGAGCTCCAGCCTTACACATCCCAATCAGGATGGGGCATCTCCCAGGCTCGACGAGCCACAGGGGCTCCAAACCTTCCTGACGTTTCATCTCCCGCTCCCATAGAACGTTCTCATACACGGTGTTCTGTTATGGGCACTGTTGCTCCACCACTCACCCAGGCCTAGCCTCCTGCCTCTCTAACAGCCCATGCGACCAAGTCCTAGCAGTCCTGTCTCTGAAGGTCCTCCCTATCCGTCATCTCCCCTTCATTTTCCCAGTTACTCCAGTTACTGTCCTACTCAAGGACCCCCCTCCCATCTGGGCTACTACAACCACACGTCCCATCCCTTGCTTCAATCATAGAATTCTTTCTTCAGATCAAAGCATATTCAGACACCCGATAATGGTAACAAAAGCAAGCTATCCTGGAAGGAGGAAGGAATCAGGAGGCAGAGGGATGAAATACCTGTGGCCTATATCTCACCTTCTGAGTGAGGTGGACTCCTGCCTCATCTCTTCCCTGGAATTCCTGCGGTTCCCTGAATACACACCATGAAGTTTCCATTTTTGAGATGGATTATTTCTTCTGCTCTGATTTCCTTTCTTGTCTGCCCAGCACATGGTTAAAGCATGAGATGTGAAACCAGGAAGAACCAGGTCTGAATCTTAGCTCCACCAGTGGTAGCTCCAAACCTTGGTCCTTTCTGAGCCTGCTTCTTCAACCCTAAGGTAAAAGTAATATCAGTACTTACATTACACACCTGTTCACGGCGTTAAATAAGGCTATATTTAAGTTGCTTAGCAGAGAGATGGTAAGCACTCAATAAATGTTCAGACATCATAATTTTCCTCACCCTTCATGAGTCAACTCGACAGCACCTCCTCCACGAAGCTTTCCCCGATCTCCTCCAGCTGTGTCCCCAGTGAAATCTACCACACTGCATGTATAGTTAGGCACCATTCTGCCTCCCTCCTCACACTGTGACCTTATTAAGGGCAGAGGCTATCTTGTTCATCTTCGGTTCTCTGCTATTCAGTAGCATCCATCACTTAGCAGAGCTCAGTGTTCACTGAATTAATTAACAAAAAAGGGAGGAAGTATGATCATTCATTAATGAAATGCACTGAACGTGTGCTGTGTGACAGACAATATTCTGGCTGCTGGGGCTACATCTGTGAATAAACAGAGGGAGTTCTTGCCCTCATGGAGCTCCCATTCTAATGAGGAGGATACGCTCAATAAACAACTACATGGATAGTATACTAGATAATGCAAAGTGCTTTGGGAAAAAATAAACCAGATTAGGGGTAACAAGGCAAGAAGCAGTTGCTTTTTTTTTTTTTTTTTTTTTGGAGATAGAGTCTGACTCTGTCACCCAGGCTGGAGTGCAATGGTGCAATCTCAGCTCACTCCAACCTTTGCCTCTCAGGTTTGAGTGATTCTCTGGCCTCAGCCTCCCAAGTAGCTGGGATTGCAGGCGCCCGCCACTATACCCGGCTAATTTTTTTTGGTATTTTTAGTAGAGATGGGGTTTTGCCATGTTGGCCAGGCTGGTCTCCTGACCTCAGGTGATCCACCTTCCTTGGCCTCCCAAAGTGCTGGGGTTACAGGCGTGAGCCACCGCGCCTGACCTGGTTGCTGTTTATGTTAGGTCAGGGAAGGCCTCACAGAAAAGGTGATGTCTGAACAGAGAGCTGAAGAAAGTGGGGGAGAAGGCGCATGGACATTAGAGGGCGGGAAGATAGGGAAGAGCACAACCCAGATCAAGGGAGAAGCCAAATGTAGAGGCCCTGAGGGGAGAGCGTGCTGCATGGGAGGCCGGCCAGCCAGCGGGGGCCCTGGCTGGTGTGCTAGGAGAATGAGGTCGGAGAGGCAGTGGGGTGGGGTCCTGTGGGGTGCAGACCGTGGGTCATGTGGGGCTCCACCATTCCTTCTTGAAGATGCGCATGATTACTGCTTGATTACCTTCTTGGGCATCTTGAAAATCCTGTCCTCCTACCTACGTCAAAATGCAGCAGAAAGGAAAAGCCCTAATCTTACCAGTCTTAACGAGTACAAATGAAGTTGTTGTGCATTAATATCTAAATCTCAATGGTTTGAGTTCTCACCTGTGCAAAGGTAGAAAGCCCCAGTTCCAGGAAAATCCTTTTCCCCCTAGTATTTCTAGGAATCCTAGGGGCACGTGCATGGTTGTATGATCCTAAACCAGTTGCCGGGGCTGGTCAAGTCATGCCTTGGCAGCTTCAGGCTCCAGTGGTCCCACAGGCACACCACAGCAGGGCGCTCTACTCACCTAACCAGCCCCTAGGTCATCCAGAGGATTTATCATTATTCTGAGACTCCACGGGGCCTTGCCTGTGGATCCAGAAGGGTACCACTGTGCCTCAATACAAGACACTACTCTTGGGAGGTGAGAACATGCCCTCCGGGTTCAGATGAGAGGGGCTGTTCCACAGCAACATTTTTTGAACTCCAGTGTTACAGTGTCTATGGACAAAGCTTTTAGTTCTTACCTATAGCCCTTCTCTTCCCAGGGAGCCAACTTACCTTCAGGTTGGCTGGTTCAGGACATACCTGGACAGCAGCTTGTCTCCAGCCTTCTATTTTCTTGGGAAGCTGGGCTTGCTGTCAGACTGGTCCTTCTCTTATGGTAGATTTTCTCTTGAGGCTCCCATAGTCTCTGCAAGTGGGCCTCTGCCTGGGTCACTCCAGCACATCAGGCCTGTCAGTAGTCAAAGCCAAGAGCAGACAAAGTTCCCGACTTTCTCCCAGGATCCCCAGCCCCAATAAAAATCAGCGAATGTGATGCCTGAGGAGGATTATTGCCTCACTATGTACCAGTACTGCTGAATCCCATCTCCCACTCAGCTGGGACCCGCTGCAGTTCTTCCGCAGGATATGAGCTTTATCAACATCCCAAGGTTTTCCATTTCTTCTTCGAGGTGTGATTACATTGAGCAGTAACAGCAACACCTGAAAGAGAATGGATACAGGTGTTCATTTCAGATGGTACAAGTTTAACAAGTCCAAGAGCAACTTAAGGTTCAACACAAAACTTCTAAGAAGATATTTAAATCTTAGTGCTTCATCCAGAAAACACCACAGCATAACTGAGAGCACTGGAGGCAGAAATAATTTAGTTTAGATCCACGAATTGCTTGCTATTTACTGTGTGACTCTGGGTAGCCATTGACTTTAAACCTATTTTTCCCACTTATAAAAAGGTAATGATGACCACTTGTTGGAAAACTTGAGGGTAATAGTGGTAAAGGTCAGAGTAAGACCCAATACCTAGGACCCAACACCTGGTAGGCACAAAGTCAGTTCTGCTTCCTTTCCCTTTCTGTAGAGAAATGCACAGGATATTCCTTATATGCCACTTAGGCTATGGGATTGACATAGGTTTGGTCCCTTATGCTATTGATTAGGTTTTGCTCTAAAAAGCTTTAAAAAAGAAAATTCATTACTATAAGATAAATTCGATTCCAAATTAATCTTGTAGTAACTCTAAGGTATGATTATGCTGCAGTTCTAGTGTAGTTGGTTCTTAGTTCATATTGAACATCATTATAGTATCAATAAACCCTTAGCAGGCTTTAACTATCTCATAGCTTTCTCTCTGATTTCCTCAATGAAAACAAAATAGCAATAATTAGGAAAAATCAGAAAATGAAAGCCAAGGAATGAAAAATCTGAATAAAAGCTATTGCATACTCCACATAGAAAAGATCTAGCTGAGGCCAAGCACGGTGGCTCACACCTGTAATCCCAGCACTTTGGGAGGCCAAGGCAGGCGGATCACCTGAGGTCAGGAGTTCGAGACCAGCCTGACCAATATGGAGAAACCCCGTCTCTACTAAAAATACAAAATTAACTGGGTGTGGTGGTGCATGCCTGTAATCCCAGCTACTAGGGAGGCTGAGGCAGGAGAATTGCTTGAACCCAGGAGGTGGAGGTTGCGGTGAGCCGAGATCGCGCCATTGCACTCCAGCCTGGGCAACAAGAGTGAAACTCCATCTCAAAAAAAAAAAAAAAAAAAAAGAAAAGAAAAGATCTGGCTGATACAGTGGTCAGGAAGGCACACGGGATCTGGAATCAGGAGACCTGAGCTTGAATTCTGGCTCAGCCACTTAGTAGATGGGAGGCACGTTGGTCTCTCTGGGCCATTTTCCTCATCTAAGATGCAAGTATCTCACAGAATTATAATTGATGTTAAATGACAAGTGCTATATGTTAGTTTGGTTCAATAAGCCGAATAGAGACAATCAGACAGACCTGGTCCCTGCCCCTGGGAGCTCACAGTCTCTTTGACCTGGGCCCTACTTTTTCCCTGATCTGGTTTTTAGTAGAGGCCAGCTTGGAATTGCTACTCATGACTACACTGATTGACTTCCAGGAGAGAGCCCTTCGAAACACCAGTGCTCACTGACCTAACCTTCTCTGCTGGTCTTACATAGAACTGGTCTGGGGAACTCACTCTATTTCCATGCTATCTCTAGCCAAAATACTTAACTTCTTGCACAAACATCATAAAATAAAGAATTACAAATAAATCACTCCCCCTGCAAACTCAAAGACCAGGCTTATCCCCTCTCCTGACTGTGTGGCAATATCATCCGTTGCCCGAAAGAAATCCTCTCATACTGGAGACCAAACTCCAGGTCCCTTTATTGCCAATCCTGTGCCTTTACATGCCATCATAATAACATTTACAAAGTGTTTTCCCTAAAGCCTCGCCCACTGCTACCCAGTCAAGTAGAACCAAAGGATATCTAGCTGTCTGTCCTTGGGACTGACACGCCCTGAGTCTCTCCTCTCGCATTTTTAAGCAGTTATGCCACAGAAAGAACCTTTGGGCCCAGGACCCTGGGTTTTGTAAGAATCAGTCTTTGGGAGAACAGACCCAAACCCTCTTCTTCTAACGTGAGTGGTGTTTTTACTAGTTGCTTCTTCAAACTTTGTAATTCGAGTCCTTCTTTAAGGTAACAAAAATGCTTTTAAAGTCTTCTGCTGAATCTTGTACCAAACAATAACCTTCAAGTTTTGGTGAAACCATGACTTTTATGTGTCGAGCTTGCTTAAAACAAGGCACACAGATAATCCTGCGACGTACTCCACTTTCTTCAAAAACTGATGGACGAGCTTTGCGCAGTGGCACTATCATAGACAATGAGGTTTACTCGAGGGGTGATTATTGCTAACTGAAAAACTGATGAACATAGGAAGTGCATGTCTGTAGCTTAATAGTATAGTCAGCCAACTTGAGACCTTGGCTCACATATTTTTGCAACATTTCTAGCCCATGACAACACTGGGTAATCCTGCGTCTTAGAACTTATCAAACATCTCTCTAATCGTTTAATATACAAGTAACAGACATCTACATCACTCGAAACTACACTCTGCCTGCTCCGGGAGGAGTCTTACGTCAGAGGACTTCTGCTGCTGCGATAGGGGAAGATCACAGACACAGTATGGAGTTTGAGTCAGTAATTTCTGCCTGTCTGAGAGGAACAGTACACAGGCAGATGGGGAAGAGTTGGTTTATAGACAGTGGTTACCAATGCCTTCCAAAAATCTACAGTACTTTACTAGTAGTCTCTCTCTACCCCACCAGGACAATCTCCGCAGAAACTCTGCGGTTAGAAGGCAATAGGATGATGTATTTAAAGTGATGAAAGAAAAACCTGTAAACCGATTGTTTTTCTTTCTTTTTTTTTTTTTTTTAGACAAGGTCTCACTCTGTCACCCAGGCTAGAGTGCAGTGGTGTGATTTCAGCCCACTGCAGCTTCAACCTTCTGTAGTCAAGGGATCCTCCCACCTCAGCCTCCTGAGCAGCTGGGACTACAGGCATGAGCCACCACATTCAGCTAATTTTTCTATTGTTTTGTAAAGATGGAGTTTTGCCATGTTGCCCAGGCTGGTCTCGAACTCCTGAGCTCAAACAATCAGCTTGTCTCAGGCTCCCAGAGTGCTGGGATTACAGGTGTGAGCCACCGCGCCCAGCCAAGAATTCTGTATCTGGTAAAACTATCCTTCAAAATCAAGGGAGAAACTAAGATATCCCTAAATAAACAAAAGCTGAAGGAATTAATCACCACTAGACCTACCCTGCAAGAAATGTTAAAGGGAGTCCTTCCCTCAGGTTGTAAGGAAACCACACTAGACAGTAACTCAACGACTGTATAAAAATATACATTTTTCCTTTCAAGGTAAACACACAGACAAATATAAAAACCAGTATTATTGCAATTTTGGTTTGTAACTCCCCTAATTATTTTACAGGACCTAAAATAGAAAAGCATAAAAAACTATAAATCTTTGCTAGTGGGTACACAATATATAAAGATGTAATTTGTGACAGCAATAACATAAAGAAGAGATGGAGCTGTAAAGGACGTCTTTCATATGCAATTAAAGTTAGCAGTTTAAAACAGGTTGTTATAACATTAGGATGTTTTATGTAAGTCTCACGGTAACACAAACGAAATAGCTACAGAATATACACAAAAGGAAGTGAGAAGGGAACTAAACATGCCACTATAAAAAATCAACTGAACTCGCTGGGCGCAGTGGTTCACACCTGTAATCCCAGCACTTCAGGAGGTTGAGGCGGGCGATCACAAGGTCAGGAGTTCGAGACCAGCCTGGCCAATATGGTGAAACAAAAATTAGCCAGGCGGGCGTGGTGGTGCATGCCTGTAGTTCCCGCTACTCAGGAGGCTAAGGCAGAGGAATTGCTTGAACCTGGGAGGCAGAGGTGCAGTGAGCCGAGATTGCACCACTGCACTCCAGTTTGGGTGACACAGTGAGACTCCATCTCAAAAAAAAAAAAAAAAAAGAAAAAGAAAAAAGAAAAAATCAACTGAACTCAAAGAAACACAGTAAGGGAGTAAATGAGGGACAAAAAAGAGCCTATAAGAGATACAGAAAACAACAACATGGCCAAGAGTAAGTCCTTCCCCATCAGTAATTACTTTAAATGTAAATTAACTCCCAAATCAAGACAGATTGACAGAATGAATTAAAAAAAAAAAAGAATCCATCTATACACTGTCTACAAGAGACTCACTTTAGATCTAAGCGCACACAGGTTGACAAAGAAAGGACAGAAAAAGATATTCCATGCAAATAGTGATGAAGAGAGTAGGGGTGGCTATACTAATATCAGATAAAATAGACTTTAAGTCAAAAACTGGTACAAAAGACAAAGAACATTATATATTTTAAAAAGGGTCAATTCACCAATTAGATATAACAATTACATATATATATATATACACACGCACACACACATATACACATACACACACACACACCCCCCCCAAACATAACAGCTCCTAACTATATGAATAAACACTGACAGAACTGAAGGGAGAAATAGATGACTCTGTAACAGTAGGCTTCAACATCCCACTTTCAATAACTGATAGAAAAGCAAGAGACAAGATCAAAAAAGAAACAGAGGCTGGGCGCTGTGGCTCACACTTGTAATCTCAGCACTGTGGGAGGCTGAGACGGGTGGATTGCTTGAGCCTAGGAGCTCAAGACCAGCCTGGACGACATGGTAAAACCACCCCCATCTCTACTAAAAATACAAAAAATTAGGCAGGCACAGTGGCGCATGCCTATAGTCCCAGCTACTTGAAAGGCTAAGGCAGGAGAATCACTTGAGCCTGGGAGGCGGAGGTTGCAGTGAGCCAAGATCGCACCACTTCACTCCACCCTGGGTGACAGAAGTGAAACCGTCTCAAAAAGAGGACTTGAACAACATGATAGGCCATTTGGACCTAACAGATATACAAAAAGCATACCACCCAACAATAAGCAGAATACACATATTCCTCAAGAGTATATGGAACATTCTCTGGGACAGGCTATTAGGCCACAAGTAAGTCTTAAAACATTTGAAAAGACTGAAATTATATAAAGTATCTTTCTAATCACAACGGAATAAAATTAGAAATCCATA